TAACTAAAAAAGTTGGTTCTATGATATACAAAAGCATTAAAAAATTATAAGATTTACCAACAGGGTGCAGCACTATATTTTTTTGCATTTATGTAAACAGCTAATTTGAACTAAGCAGCAACAAAAAACTGTGATACGCAATGAGAACTGTCAAAGGAGGATTTTTTACAGTTATGTCTATGTTTTTAATGTAACGAATAGTTAGTGATTTTTTGCGAATTTTTAATAATTTATTTTCTTTGTTGTTTAGATGAAGTGGTAGAACATTATGGCTATGGCAGATGTGTAATACCATAGTATACCGTCAATTTTAAGAACAAAATTTTCTCAAACTTTGTCCTCCCCCATTGCAAACTCAAAGCTTGAGTATAACTGCAATAAGCATTTTAAACTTATATGCCAACCCCGTACGAAGGACGGGTACTCTGCTAGTTGATTATAAATAACTTCTTGATAAGCATTGTACGTGTTATCAGATTTACGGAAAGTAAATAAAAGAAACGTCTTATAACCATCGATCTCTCTATAACACGTAAAACATATATTAACGCTTATACTGTTACTCACAAGACGGTAAACATACACAAAAGATGATAATCGGTGATCGATTTCGATTGGTCAATCGATCACCGCTTACCATCTTTTGTGTATAATTGCCGTCTTATGATTAACAGTATAAGCGTAAATATATGTTTTAAGTATTATAAGACGTTTCTTTTATTTACTTTCCGCATTGATTATAATACGCAAAGTAGCTAAATGCTGCCTTTACTTACTTTACTCCACACTGCCACACTCATTTTACTTTGCCACACTCCAGTATTCCAACCAAACAACACAAAACATGTGCTTTTATTAGGAACGTAACGTGTACACTTGAAAATAAGTTGTCAACTTAAGATTAACGACTACGATCAGCTGTTGCAGTGTTTCCCATTTCGTTCAATCAATGGATTTAACCTTTTAACCTAAAAACTTTTTGTACCATGTTTGAAAGACTAATTATTTATATGCTTTATAGTAACTGTAGGGAAAATTTAATGTGTAACGCGGGCGCAAAGTGCCTTTGCTGCAGTCATGAAACTTTCCACGTTCGCCTGCGGCTCTTGCGTTGCCTTTTTTCTCATGTGCAGCAAAGTACCACTTCGCGCACTAGTAAAACAAATGGCTATTGACTGAATATAATGTGTTGTGGTTTTTAGTTGGCTTACCTTATTAGTTGAGCTTGAGCTGTAACAAATATTTTTATGATAAAATTTAGAATTTTCGAAGTTTACCAAAATATTAAAAAGTCCTGTTCAGCATTTCCTAAAATACTAAAATCAGCTAACTAGTACTCAGTGTGTTATTATTTGTATTGTGTTGTGCCAAAAGGACCCAAAATTTGCATAATCTATATTGTAGGGACATTTTCATCTACATAATAGATTTGGCAAACCTGTGGAGTAGTGAGGGGTGAGTAGTCTAACAGAAGACTAACTTCAGTGTATATAATACTCATTTACATTAGTGTTCCCCTCACGTTAGCTTCTGCACATTCCAATGTACTTAAAAGGCGTTGTGACTGTATAGTTTATAGTAAAATTAATGAAGTAAAAAAAAATACAGAACATAGTTATGGTTAAGTCATTAGACAGTACTAACAATTCGTGAGGGTTAAAATTAATCAGTTTCAAAAATGAATATAATAAAATAGATTGAATAAATGGGTTTATATTTATGAATAATAAAAGTTATCTAAGATTTGAAAATAATTTAAATGAATCCACAAAGATTTTTTTACATGTTTTGACACTATCTTTTCAATTTACGTTTCAATTTACATACTTCAAAGAGTAAACGGTGTTTTAATCTCAATAAAAATTCGTTCACAGCAAGCTAGGTAAAGTACCTTCGATCTAAGTCAACTCGACTTACCTAACACGTGGACTTCAGTATGACATGCTCAAAATGTATAACTACAGTATTTAGTATTCAAATGGCTATACAGGGTGATTGATATAAGTGTGCCAGCCGTTTTATTCGAAAACCATAAGAGATATCAAAAAAAGTTAAATGGTAAGTGCCTTGGATTTTTTATTTAAAAAATTATAGTCAAGTCAAAAAAATTATTTTAGCCGCCATTTTTCCAATATGGCCGCCAACTTTGATTTTTCTTATGGAACTCCCTGTATTTTATGATGTATTCTGGTAGAAAATGTAATTTTAAGACGATTTTATTCTTGTAATTTTTTTTCATAAACCTAACCGTTTCAAAGATAATAAAGGTTTAAGTTGTGAATTTTTGAATGGTTTTCGAATAAAACAGCTGGCATGCTTGCTTAGGCCTTTATCGAAACTCTTTCTCATGCAGAAATTTCAAAACTTTAACCATTATTATCTTTGAAACGGTTAGGTTTATGAAAAAAATGACAAGAATAAAATCGTCTTAAAATTACATTTTCTACCAGAATACATCATAAAATACAGGGTGTTCCATAAGAAAAATCAAAGTTGGTGGCCATATTGGAAAAATGGCGGCTAAAATAATTTTTTTGACTTGACTACAATTTTTTAAATAAAAAATCCAAGGCACTTACTATTTAACTTTTTTTGATATCTCTTATAGTTTTCGAATAAAACGTCTGGCGCACTTATATCAATCACCCTGTATATTCAAGGGTTATAAATAAATAGTGTATGTATGAAACACAAAAAAAGGAATTCAGTTAGATTAAAATATAGGCTAGTAAAAAAAAAGTGTAAAACAATCTTTCAAGTGCGACAGACAAAGTAAGTTGTAAAAGAAAATGTTAGCGTTAAAAAAATTAAATTAAAATCTTTTACAATTAAAACTCCAAATTGTATCAAATGAAATTCTAAATCTAAACAAGTATAATTTAAAATTTAAATGATTAATACTAAAAATCTAAAATTTAAAAATAATTGAACATTTTAACCATAATTACACCTTACAATGTGAAAAAACTACCTAATCTCTACATTTAAATTGTTTACGCTATACTGTATAACATTGTAGGTGAACAATATTAATATAATGATATTATAACCTGTCCCAATAGTTTTAAACATAGCCATTGAATAACTAAACATGGGCAGGACTATGTATTATCAATTGATAAATTGAATTAACTAAGTTCCATAATATTTTTTGGCTATTCGCTTTTATGGCTAAACTTAAAGTGGTTCAATAGTAGGATTAAACTAAATTAATTGTGCTAAATATAAGATTTAAAGACACAAATGATTACTACAGTTTCCCATTATTAATAGGGAAATTCGCTAAAAACACACAGCCACATTAAACAACCATAAAAACACAGTGCCACATAAAATTTTGCTTTGACAATGCATAACTAACAACTTAACCCTCTACAAGGGAAAATGGCAACTTATACGTTATATCAGAGATAAATGTAATGTCAACTGTTAAATTGTTAAACCACGAAAATGTGATTCAATTACAAGAGGTATAGATGATGTTATCCAGTAAATCCAATGTAATTTACCCACAGAACAAGTCGCGAAGTCTGTCAATAAAGTCTGGTAAGCTCTTCGTTAGATCTCTCGGCATTTTCATGTTAAAGGGAACATTCATTATTATCGATGATTTTTCTCTCGATATATCGATATTTTTGTTTACCGATTCATTACATATTGACAACTGATCTTGTTTAGGCTAAAATAGTCAATTATATGGATTAAGAAATGAAACTGTTCTAAGCTATCCTAACATAACCAACCAAACTTGCTGTAGTATTTAAAAATTCCTTTTGATAACAGAAAAGGCAAGTTAAACATGGGATGTTACTCAGCAAGTTTGGTTAGTTATGTTAGGTTATTTTTTTAGAACAGTTTCATTTCATTATTGTTTTTTGATACTGCGTAGTTGTCAGCTGATATGTTTCAATTTGTTAATATCGATATATCGAGAAAAAAATCATCGATAATAATGAATGTTCCCTTTAACAGGAAAGTACCGATATCTCCTCAGAGTCTTTTCTTTTGAACTGCAAAAATAAAAGTTTTCTTTGCTTGACCTTTTTGTGTTTACAAACTGTCTTACATTTTTTTCAACTCCACCCCTACGAATTAGGTGTTTATTTTGTAGTAGACAGATACATTATGATACTAAACTATAAAGATGTGCAATGTGCATCATGTCAATCAGAATATATGACGTGTAAAAGATGGCTGACTGATGTCATACTTCGGTTATTAATTGAACTGAAGTTAAAAAAATATTGTAAGCCATTTTATCTCAGTTTTTGCGTTAATGATGCATATTGAATCTTTTACTGTGTTTTCTTGAGAGGTGTAAATGTATTCTTTTAAAGGCCTAAAGACATCTTATAAATTGACAAGATAATACTTTGTTTCGATTTAACTAAATCTAAAACACTGTATGAACCAAAACTAATAATTGACAAATGTATAACACCATACCAAATGCAATAACAATACATGGTATTATAATTGTTTCTGTACGTGTCTGTATTACGAGTTTTGAGTTTTACAAAATGTATTATTTTATAAATGGCTTTTGAATAAAAGTTTTAAAGACAACAGACACTTTTTTAAGAGAGTGAATAGTACTAGTGCAATACAATCTGTATAAACACATTACGATCTTCTTTATATGCCTCAGCTCCACTCATACGTTTAGAGTCATTTGTATTCAACAAGCTCCATACTCTTAGGAAAACACACACCCCTTGCGTTTTATACCCACCCATATTTTGCTCGGGTGGATTTACTTATTAAAATTTTTTTCACTCTTTAGATTCAAAAACTTGACTAAATCAACATACAAACTATTCGCACTATGTTTATTTAAATCTACGTCAGTTCAAAAAACTATTATTGTAAGTATTTTCTGAATATGGATATTGGTGATTCGAGAAAAAGTCAATAAATGCACCAGAACAGCTGTAAGTGATATGGCTGATTAATGGTAACTCTTTGATAAGAGAATTACTCTTAGATATTGATAACTGACTTACAAAACACTGACTTTATGGACTGGTATTTATGGTCGCCTGGTAAGTGGATGCATTTTAGTTCTTGTTTAAACATGAATAATTTTAACATATTTTAATTTAACTTACTGAGCAGCAACCGTTACCGTTGATTGGAAAAATCACAATTAGTTTAATAGTGTAAGAATATACATTTTTATGAATTCTCGTATTTACCACTGATTACATACTACTCTTGCTTAGGTAAATTACATATTGATCTGGTCCTTTAATCTATCGAAAACTAAACTATACTGCAATTTTGGTTAGTACAGCTTTTACGAATTTAAGGAAAGGTATTTCTAAATAATTTACAACAATAATTATTACATAGTTTATACCTTAAGTAACTTTTATGATCTTAGAAGCACAATTACTGAAATTATTCAATAAACTCATTTGAAAAAAAGTCTTTAACTATTATACTATAATTAGGGTTATATTAAAGTTTTGACTTTACGTTCAGGAAATACCTTACTCTACTTCAAATTTTCTTATAACCTGTAGCCTTGTAATTTTGCCGTATAATTTAACTACTTATGCGATTTCATCACAGTATTTTGGCATAAATATAAAGATGCATACGTTTATGATTGATACTGAAACCAACAGCTTGTTGAAACTTCCATACATTAATTTTACTCTTTTGCTTGATTTTGTTCAATGGCATAAACTATTCTCTGCTAAAAAGCATAAGCCTGGAAATTTTCGGCGGTTTAAGCTGAAAATATTTTTCTATTGTTATACCATCCAGCAAACAGGGGTGAAAGAATGGGGAATGTTTTATTAATTTATTGTTTAGTAACTATTTAGAAAGCTGTCATAAAAAGATAACAATTAATAATAGTGTAGATTATCCCTAAACCAACTTATGTATGGAAAAGTAGCTTAACTAAGCTTATTATCACAATTATTTAATTTCATTAACTGCTTAGTAGTTACTTAGTATTCTAAATCCTATAAAAATGTTTAATAACGTTTGACGTGTGAGTAAATCCAGATTTATAACATAAACTTTAATAATTTCTTTGTTTGGTCTGCTAGCATCGATTGTACAAATCAATGTTTATAGTTTCCAGAATTTCTTTTGCAATTCACCCCCTCACCTCTCTCACTAAAAGTAACGTTTATTCTTTCCAGCAGATATAAAGCCCATGTTTAATTTGGATTGGCAATTGACTTGACAGTTGGAATCGTCAGAAAGCTGATTTGAGTAACTGCCGCTCACACACACACACTGATGAATTCAGGCTTGAACTCACATTGTTTGAAAACCTTTACACAGTCGAGGGAGGTTCTGATTAAACTTTATGTCGGTATAACAATGGTTTGTCATAATGTCACGTCTATATTGTTTTCAGAATACCCAGAGAAGCCGCTAGAGTTTGTAGCTCGCAATGTGTGGGGGGCGGAGGAGCCTAGAGGAGGCAGACCTCTACCTGGTATGGTTAAACACATCTTCATCACATACAACACGGAGAGTGAAGAATGCCGATACCCAGAGCAATGCATGGCCGTCGTCAAGGGGCTACAGGAGAGAGCGTTTGCCGAGGGTCTTTCGGACATCAAGTACAAGTGAGGCGAGAAATCATTTATATTCATAGATTGCAATTAAATTTAATATTCGAATATTTCAAAAGAAAGTTGGTCAACAGCACTTGATTGCTGAAGGTGCCTCCTAGAAGTAAACTCAAGGCTAGGGAGGCAAATTCCCAAGGCCGAGTACATACCAAAAACAACCGGTGATACAACTAAACAGCAACTCAACTCAGTCAACTGGAGTTTCTTTTAAGTTCACACCGCATGCACATACAAAAGAAACCCAAGTTAACAAGTAGTCCAGTCACTTCACGGATGTCTTCGTCCGAGAAGGAGGCAGTTCTTCTATATATGCTTAGAAAAAAACATTACACAGACGGTATAGTAAATGCAATCAAATTGTTAATTATTAGTCCTTTCACTATTTTATCAGCTTTAACATTGCACACCATAAACGTCTATTAAGTTGAGTTTATTATAACTCAAAAACTCAAAATAAGTGTCAGCAAAGTGTACATAAAAGTGTTACAAAAAAGCCAATAAATTCTTTATACAGTATTTTTACGGATTAGGATACTGACAATAAACTTAAGCCAGACAACGTGTAATATTTGATTTGCTAAACACCTACTATAGTAAACAGAGTTTCCATCCAGCTGTCCCAAAGGAGTTGTTCTCTCTTAATTTAAAATTTTAAGACATTGTACAATGTTTTGACATAAAATATTAATTTAATTCGATATTAAAACCACTAAACCAGTATGACCCTGATTAACTAGCCCGGTAATAAATAGTCATTACCTTTCAACTTTTCACTCGTATAGAACAACTGAAGATTAAAACATTTAAAAGGAAATTATGGCGGAGCAGAACCGAGAAACGAGTACGGCATTTAAATCTTGTAAAAGGCGAGAGAGGGAGAACATTAGCCTTGTCCATTAGGTAAGTAAGTGCAATCTTGTATAATGGATTGTTCTGTCACCATAGCAACACCAATGAGGCAGGGAACTGGATAAACGTGCGTAAAAGTTATTTATGTGTTCTCAAATATAAGCATGCTTGTATCATGGCTTTATTAGCTTACTTGTAATTGCCAAGTTTCGTTTGATCATGTACGTTTAAAGGCGTACGTTAATTAGTACTTTAAAGGCAAGGGTGGGTATATTAATTCAGTTCTAATATACATTGTCATTATCATGAGGCTCATATAAAATGCTGCGTATTTTAACCAAAAGATTAGCAGAATATAAATTTAGGATGACGATACCTTGAACTGAATCTTTTTTTGCTGTCGCCTTGTCCAGGACAAGCTAAAATATCATAAACAGCTAAGTCATCAAAAAGCTAAGTTATTTTTCTCAGGATTGATTCTGTTACCTCAGGCACGCTCTAAATCGATTCTCCTACTATCTACATACTTGATATTCTGACAACGAGTATCAATTATTGTCAATTACTTATTGTTATATTGGCAGAAATAATACTTGGCCATGTTTATTTTTCAGTTTCCTGATCGGAGAAGATGGCTACGTGTACGAGGGTAGAGGATGGGTGAACAAACCTCCGATATCAAAGAGATTTCCAAACATGACGAAGAGGATTGACATCGGCTATCTCGGCAGTAAAAAGTGTAAGACCGTTCAAATATTTTCGATTATACTGTATTATAATTGTACGATGCCAAGGTGAAGATTAGTGAATGATTATTGTTCAATCAACGATATTAAAGCAATGTCTGACTTATGATTCGCTAGATCTTCAGTCAGTTGGAATTCATCGAAAATCAAGAACAGCTGGGTCCAGTTTAGATTCACCGAAAAGTTTTTTTTGCCACACTACTCTGTTTTAACATACTTTCAAAGCATGAATTTAACCCGGAAAACAGCTGTATGCCGCCTGCCTAATCAAATGGTGTTTCATTACGTACAGTAATGAGTTTTAACCGGACATCAGCTGGTTGACAATGAGTGGTTATAAACGAAATCATATGACGACAAATATCGTAACTAGTCCAAAATGTGTTCGTCTCATGCGGGAACGACTACACTCGTCCGAACACCTATTTTCCGGACAAGTAACGTAATATACTATAACGTCTCTCAGGATCGAACTAGTGGACTTCTGATTACCAGATGAATGCTCTGACCATTTACAAGCTCCCGTAGTGGTAGTTCATCGTAGCTACCATTACATCCATATTTTTATGGACCTATGTAGTTTTTAGGTATCCACGCTCATAAAATGTTGTGATATCAAGCCAAGTTGTTGTGCAAGTCAAATAATCGATTTAGCTTAAGCAAACAAAATTACACGTATATATACATGAAGTTGTACGAAGAACATCGTAACATCAATGGTCCTTATTGGTAAGGAGAGAAAAATATCCAAATAGCTAACAAACATGCCACTCAACATGGAACTTAAATTGAAAATACGTGCTTTTCAATCACTCGTGTTGTAGCAAATAAAAGTTGATGCTTTTAACAGAGGCAGATATAAATACGACTCTGTATGTTAGGCTGTTTTTAAAATAATTTATGCCAATTCACTGAATTAAGAAAAATAATTGTTATATGGATTAGGTGGAGTGATACTGTTAATGTTGACAATTAAAAAAATTATTCACTGTTTTAATTTATTCATTTTACAGTCTACCTGTTTACCTATGATATCATGAAGCTGGGTCTGGACATCATATATTACGGAGTGGTCAACAACCATATCCGACGGCCTTACAAGGTAATAAATCACTTTCTTTGTTTTTCATTCCTTTGGTAAATTTTACTTTGCCAAAACATCATTAGGTGACTAGTAAAAAATTACCAAAATACTGTTAGTGGACCAGTTACAGCATGGTGTATATGACTAGTCACACATCGTCAGAGTTACTTGTTTATATTTTGAAAAGTGTTAACCCATTTACACTGGAATATTTGTTCGTTTCTCCCAATAATTATTTTGTTATCCTTTAAAGTCCTTTTATGTCTATTATCACATATGGTTTTCCACGTGATATGTACATAGTTAAGTGCAATAAAAGTAAAAAAAGAAAACTCCGTGTACTCAACTTCTATACAAATGTGTAGTGATAATGAGTGCAGTCTCTTAAGACGTGGTTTATTTTATGTTTATAGTTTAAAGAAGGCCTGTTTAATGGATCATTTACAGGGTAAGCTACTAGGAGCGAGTAAAACATCAGACTTTGCGAGTACGACATGCAGGTCCCGTTAACTATATCCTCCAGCATTCCAAGTATATACCAATTTATCACTTGTGCATCTTCAATTTAAAGTACACTTTACACAATACTTTAAGACATGAGTGATTGTCACTATTTAATCTGCGGTTTTACGATGTAGTTCGTTCAAAAGCCGGTGACTGGCATGCAGATTTCCCAAAAGATTCAGCTCATTCCATAGCTGTTTTAAAAGCAGCTATCTATCGAATGCGGCAAGTACAATGGGCTAATTTTCGTGCTGCTTCAAAAAGACTCAGATACTAGCTCGTAGCGAGATTGTATTTTTGTCACTGATCAAGATCAGCTGATTCATAATTGTTTATTCAGGTGAAGGAATGGCGAACACCTGACAGTCTACGGTACACTTGGCAACACGACACTCCAGAAATCAACGAACCTTTACTGCACGAGATTATGAGGATACAGAAGGCGGAACCGGACATAACATTTGACCAGCTGCAAGAGAGAGTGAAACATCTCTACACGGGCTACACTCCTGAGGAACTGAAGGAAGCGATCGATGGACCCCTCATAGGGTGAACAAAGTGGTGTACTTTGCCATCAGTAGATTGAGGGCAAAATTACAATAGCATTTTTATCGCTTTTTATATAATGATAAAAAATTATTTTTCAAACTATTTTTTTAATGGATAGCTTTTTCTAATACAGCATGCTAAATATTTTTTTATATCAAACTACTTGTAAATATTTCTAGTAAATTATATACATTTTTAACATAAACATTCTGCATTTTCATTTAACTGAATCAGACCTGATTTTGGGCGTTTTTAGAGTAACAAATAGAATTTTTTCTGTTGATAGACCGAAGCAGAGTATTCAATTTTTTTATTGGCAAATTAAAACCTTTGATAAATTTATTGCTTACATATCGAACAAAATAAATATTGAATGAAATACATTGGATATTTTATTTTGTACTATTTTTTGTCACAGCTTGTACATTTAGTTGGTAACAGTTGACATTTTTTACTCGGATGGGATTTAAATTACAAGGTATGCATTTATATTAATCGCACACAAAATTTAGTATAATTATATAACTTGATTTTATTTTACTTATCAAATACACCTGGTTCATCTCTGTGGCCTTTTTACTTATTAGGACACGAAAACGTTGAAATTCATATCTAGGTCAATATTTTGTGTGTATACCATCGTACCTGACTACTTGATATTGAATAGCCAAAGATCGTGAGCGAAGTCTACATTTATCGATTTATTACATCTCACCTCACACCATGTTATTTTTAATAATTCTTACTCATAAATTTGTCGAATTCATTTCCCAACCATCCCAACCCCACCAATAAACAAACCATCAATACACAAACCTTAACCTTGTAACCAGTAATAATTGACAACCTATAAATTACGAGAATCGTTAACCTTTGTGTAAAATCGATAACTGTGCAGTTCGTTGTCAGACCACTGCACTTTGTTATGGTTAATTATATGGGATTGGTCGCCATAAAATCCAACCATTAATGGACTAAGAACAACCTTCTCTACTCCAAATCCCGTGAAGTAGAGACAGATGAAACCTACTAGATGAACTATTATAATCACGCAACTGAAACGATAATAGAAATATACCGTAATCAAACTATTACACCTATAATGGAATAGGTCAGGCACGTCTTTACTAACCTAGGTCTGAACTCGAACTGTCGTCCGTCCTGGTGTCTAGGATTAGGTTTAGCTGCTCATTTCTCACGGACCAGTTCTATTTTCTTTCCTTAACACTGACAACTTAAGTTCTTCTTCTACTTTACCACACCCTCTATCCATCATAAAAAACAATAACACAAAAAACGCAGGGTGACATATAACCTACCTTATGGAAAGATTAGGACGTGATGTACGAACTCCTAACTAAAGTATGTCAGATTGTATTTGTCAGTTAAAGCAATTAAGTTAACTTTAAGTGTAAGTTTTAAAAAATCTCAGTTACCATCACATTTAATGGTTGTCCGTAGAAGCCCTCGCAGCTATTAAACTAATTGCAATTTTTAATCAACACAAAGTGTAATGAGTGCGGTGAATAATCGTAATTTAAAGTAGTTCATCTCAAGTAATGTTTCAATTTAAGTAATATTCTAGGGAGTGTCATTCTAGATTGTAACTTATTCACCATGTACCCTTAAATATTCTATGTAAACAATAAATAACCGCTAAAGAAGGAATAAAAACGTACATATTAAACAAGTGGATTCTTTCTAATTTCATTAGGCTTTCATTTAAGTTCATTTAAATAATTTGTTAAAATAATATATAGATTAATACAAGGACTCTTAAAACCTTTTCTTTTAAATCCAATTCACTCATAGATATAACCACTACCTATTTGCCGTTCCACTCAAGAAACTTATAATAAGAAATTATAAGGATATTAACCATTTTCGATGAACTTTTTACCAAGAATATTTTACAAGCATTTTGTCAGTAAAACTTCAAAAGTTTCTGGGAGCTACTTTAAGAAAATCAAAGGATCCGGCAACTCAAATAAAACTCTACGTACAAAGTTTACTACAAGATTGAACGATTGGTTTTGAAACTTCTTTAATATAAAAGTTTTTAAAAATATGTACCCCTTAGATGCCCCTTGGTAGAGTTGTTTATTTATACTTGTTTTACATATTAGTAAAATTAATTACTTTAGGAAATTATTTGGTAAAAACTAAGCTGATTTGAATCGACATATATTATTTGAACACATTAAAATTTGTTTATTTGAAGAATACATAGCCATTAAGTAACAGTAGATGATTTACAATAATTATGTGTCTATATGAAACAACACAATTTTTTTCATTACAGTTTACATTACCATAAAGTTCTATATAGGAAATTTCTACAAATTAAAATGAAGTATGAATAGGATTTATAAGGCCACCGAAATACATGACTGTACAATCTATACAGGGTGTTTGGTAGTCAGTGTCACATATTTAAATGCAATATGATGGACATAGCAATTTGGATAGTTTAATGTGTACTAACTAATACTTACAAACTCCACTTAGCTCGTAATCTAATTTACCAGAATATTTTAAGGTTTTCAATCAATGCTAACAAAAAAGGCATCTCTTTCAGCTGCGGCTAAGTTTTATGATCGTAATTCTTTTTTGCCAGAATGTAATTCATATTATCAAATATCGTATTGCTAAACGTCTTTATTCAGTAATAGTTATTTCAGCTATCTACAACTCGATAAATAATGTTTATATATTCTAATTGTAATGAAATTATCATAGTTAGTATTATTAATCCATATATGTTTGATAAAATAAAGGTTTTCTTTGCAACATCCCCTTTTCGTCTACGATTAACGTGTCACTTTAAAGCTTATGATCTAGTGGAAGGACAAATAGTATTAAAACAGAAATTTCTTTTAGTCCTTAGCACCCTAGAGTTAAATATATTTCTTGAGTTCCCTTTCAACGATCCAGTGATGTTGACTATCTTTCTAAATAACGGGTTTAAAATGTGAGTTGAAATTTAATTATAGATTATCCTCCAGTTGAATGTTTAACCACAGTCAGATTGAAAACAAGATACGAAAGAGCTTGTAAATATCCCCGCTGCAGCAAACCTGCATACGGCCCCTCGCCCACTATACGATTTCGGTCGTACGACACTGTGTCGGAACGACAACATTTCCACAGTGAACCATTGGATCTTATGAGAGCTCGCCCACTGTACGATAATCTCACGACTACGACAAACTGTCGTGAAGCAGTCGTCCACTGCCACTGTGATACACAACTGTCGCACGACTGTTTTACTCGCAGTGGCGTACACAATCAAATGGGCGCTCGCCCACTATACGATTTTTATCGTATGTCGTGCGTTCTCCCCAGTAGTCTTATATATACTTTTTGCAATTAACTCATACTTAGTCATTATTATAGTTGTTATATCACTTTGCGTATTTCTTATCGTGAATAAATATTTTTTACAATTCATTCACACTTTTTTATTATAATGTTTGATTTTATTTTGGTTTTATTTTTCAACCATTATTTTGCGTAATTTTGATTTTCCTATTTATTTTTTACAATTTGTTCATATTTTTCTTTATATTATGTTTAAATACTGCATCACTTATGAGTAAATATACCAAAATAATTATTGAAAAAATGCGAGTTTGGCCATTATTTATTATTGTATAATCTTAATTATTAATTATATTGTGTAAAAAAGTTTCACTAAAACCTATAAATATAATTTTTGTAGATTATATTGATAAAATTAAATCATTAATATTTAAAAACTAATCCAAAAAAATTTAACATACATAGGGTACTTACTTTTTACCAGACTATCCCAAAACCGTATGATAGTTATGGTAAATTTATAAACTTGTAAAATGCATGGACTAATATAATTTGAAAATTTCTTTAAATACATTAACTTAAAAAATTATTTACACATAAAAATAAATGTTTCTTTAATGCTGTAGGCCTACATTGGCCACTATCGCTTAATCTACGCCACAGCAGCCACATTGCAACAACACGTAACGGAATCATTGTTTTACTATTTGATACAGAACCACTGTTTTAAGATATTGCGCAACACACCCACACCTCACTCTTCCAGGGCTACCGAGCAACTGGTCATTTATCCGACAAAGTGTCGTAAAGTGGGCGAGGACCACACATACGATAAGAATATCGTACGACACAGTGCCGTACGACCGAAATCGTATAGTGGGCGAGAGGCCTAAGCGAATTTTAATTAGTCTGATTTGAGTTTTACTCAAATATTTCCTTAAACAAGTTATGTTTATTTAAATAGACGATGAACAAAATGAATAGTTGAATTCTAGGTTGTCGCCAGCTGGAACTGTACTGCCCTGTTTAAGAAAAAGTTTATGTATCTACAGAGAGGTTTTAAGCTTAAAATGCTGGTTTCCGACAAGGCATGAAGAAATCGCTGTTTTAATTTCCCTTCATTGGGAAACAATATGTAACTATTTTAATCACCTCAATAGCTTATACCTCCACAAATTGTGTCTGCGTATTAAATTGTACATACTGTACAACAAATCGGAAGCGGGGTGTGGGAATGGTGAGGGTAAATGAGAATATAATGCAACTCCGCTACATTTTGTAGACGCCTCTAAACATTGTAGGCTCGCTCAGACCTGAGGCACTCTGAAACATAATAAATTTAGATAAGGTTTAACATGAGTAACATTAATTACAATATTTTAATTATAGACTGTATTGAAAAAAAGCGGCGGGGGTATTTTGAAAAATACCCCCGCCGCAGCAAATCGTCAGACTAAGTGAATTTCCATTTGTCTGATATTATTTTCAATTTCAACAGCTTTGGGTTTAACCAGTACTTATCAAAAACTACTAATGACGTATGAAAACTACTTAACTTTTCCTTTTCTTAGATAATAATTAGTATACCGAATTTAAGCCTTCTAGCTAGTCGGGAATATAGGGAATTAAGTTATAAGTTAGTCAGTTAGTGAGGGGTTAGTTAGGGGGGGGGTCAGTGGTGGGGATATGTTTGAGGAAATCCATTCAAAAATGTTAGGAGAGTTTTCTTACTTTA